AAAAATATTAAAAGAAATTACACAATATACAATATTTAAGGCACTGTACATACATGCCATATTAATCTCCACAAACATATTTTTTTATTTAATTCTAGATCAGCAGATTTTAGCTCTGTTTTTTATAGAAATTAATTCAGACTCTTATCTTCAATAATTATATTTGTTCGATTTCCGAAGTTTGACACGTGATCTAATGTACATGAGGTGTTTATAACATATGTATATTCAACATCAAATTTCTATATATTTGTATTAAGGCCGCATTAAGGGGATGAGCCGAGATAATCAAGTGCATTAAAATACTTTTTTAAATACATACACATGCCAGTACAACTCTTAATTTAACGCTTTATGCGCTTCCGTAAGTCACTGAACCTTATCAACAAAGAGTGCATATCTGTATATTCATAAACTTACATTCTATACAAAAAGTATGTGGTCTGTACGGTTTGATAGAGATACAGTTAGATAGCTGCTGGCTGTTCACCTCTCCATCAACTAATAAAGTTGATTGTAGCTACGAGTTACATATGTAACTGTTAATTGACAGTGTTGAGTTATTTGTTGTACACACTGTTGGGTTGCTGATAACCCAACCTGTGCCAGTTTCAATGCTTTACTCGCAAATATTTGCTAATTTCCAAACAGCAAATAAATATATTTTTTTATGAATGTGTACTCATGAGTTTACCTGATAACGCGGTTGCACAAAATTTTCAAGAATATTTGTGCCAAAACACGATTATGCATGGCTTATTTTTCCAAAATAACATAAGTAGAGTTTGGAAATTAAGGCTGTGCTTAAAAAGATACTACTCCAGAAAAAAAAAATGCTTCGCCGTCTTAATTTTTTAGTGATCCTTAAATAATATAGGCTTATGTGACATTTCTTCTGACCTACTGTGGCATTCGGATTGTGACGAAAAATGTTTAGTTATTCGGTAATACCTCTTTTTTCCATTCTTTACTGATCCTCAAATATGATACGTTTTTTTAATAATGATCTTATGTAATATTAATATCAAACAGAAGCAATGAATTGTACCAAAACTTTTTTAAGTCACTGTATATGTATATAGGAAAATAATTTCATTAATTCTAGCATGTTGATATTTTTGATGTTTTTAAATTGAACATGTTCGTTTTGATCATAACCTGATTACATATGTAATAATAATGCTTAACGGCATATGAGCTTTGCTTTCTTGTATATACATATATGTTACATATATTTTTTATAACTTTAAGTGCAAAATAAATATAGTATAAAAAAAATCATTGAGTAGATTAAAAGTTTAGAATAGTTCTGGATTGCGTACAGCGGTGGGCCAATAAATAGAAGAATCTTTTTTTGTTTTGACTACTCAGTTTAAATTGGTAAATAATTATAGAAGCAGATTTGAAGAAATGCAAAAAAAAAAAATGGTGAAATATGATATTTGCAATATTTTCTAAAAATATAAAATTAAGTGCCCAAAACGTAAGCCCAGGTAAGTAGTGTATGTATATACTTTTACCATTTACAAGGGGTCAATTTGTGAAGTATATGAGTAGCCCTTAAAAACTTATATAGTATATACATTCATACTAGTACATATATACCATATCTAGTGGATGAGTCTTTAATCTGTATTTAAGCTTAGTTATATGCGCAGAATACGAACTAAATGTGAAATAATAATTATCATCATCAAGATTTATGCAAATACATATATGGAGGTATATAAAGGGTGTTTATTTTATAGACATGTGGTTGTCAAGAAGATATAAAAATATTTATTATAAATATAAGGGCTTGAAATTATGTTTCAAAAATGATTTCGTGCTAGGAACCGCTGCGGTCATCTGCGTCGACAAGCGACTTCACTCAACTCCACAAAAAATAGTTCAGCAGTCTTAATCGCACGATCGTAGAGGCACAAGCTTCCACAAGTCCACGACGCGCGATAATGCGCTCACCATTAGTTTCCTTCAATAAATTGACCAAAAGTCGTTCACATCAACATTCTCCAATTCAGGCACCAAAAAGTCATTAATCATCGCTATGTAGCGTTCCACATTAACTGTAACATTTTGGCCGGCTTCATTTTTGAAGAAGTATTCAACAATGTTTACCTCTACCCATAGAGCACACCAAACAGTGATTTTATGAGGATGTAACGACGTCTCATCAATATCTTGTAAATTATTATCACTCCAAATAGGACAACTCTGTTTATTAACGTATCCATTCAATCAAAAGTGAACATCAGTGTTGAACAAAATTTTCTTGTTAATATCGGGAACTGTGGCCATCTCGTTTTAGTCCCATTCAACTTCAATTCTTGAAACCAAACTCAGTATAAATCCTGTAACTGTCTTATTGAAAACCACATAGCTAAAAAAACAACCGTTATATATACAGTATAACTTTGATATAGCGAATCTGAATCTGGATTTTGAAAAATTCGTTATATCAAGGAATTCGTTATATTGAGGTTCGTTATATCAAGGTTTCACTGTATATATATATATTTATATACATACATATATATGTTCACACTTGACGCGGTTGTCGGTGATGCTAATTGAGGTGTTATCAACTTTATCAGTGGCACCGCGTACTTTGTGCAAATAAGGCTTTACTGTTATTATTAGCAGCCATCACAACAATACCTGTCATAATAATGCATTTGCACTGCTTTAATTAAGCCGAATGCAACCAACCGAATTGGCATACAGTCGTAAAATGAATGATGTAAGAACCCAGTGATAATAATTAGAGTATGGCGTGTGGTTGTTATTGCTGCTGTAAAATAGAAAACACAAAAAATGTTGTATTGCTATTTTACATTGTGCCATTAATTATTATGGATTGGAAAAATTTCCAATTACACTGTAAGTGTTCTTCTGACATACGCACCGCATTGGCATCGGAAGCTTTGGCTTTTTACCAACAATTTTTAGTGATCATTTTAGTGAAAAATAATGAGCAAGTAATGTCTAGTTATATCATCAGCTTATCACCATAATTTTCTCAAAATCTTCCATAATCTAATAATTATTAGCATTCTTTTTGTTTCATTTATTAAATTGGCTTTGGCTCCGGCGTCTCACCATAAGTTCTTGCTATACATTTACATTTCTTTTTAAAGTCGTTCATAATTTAAACTATTTGTCATTTGTTATCGCTCCTTCATATTGAAACACAAAAAATAAGCAAACAAAATAATAAAAAAAATATATATATACATACATACATTATTGTAAATATGTATGTAATTATCCGCCACTAGGTACAAACATGAAATACTTAGATGATGAAAGTATATTGACAGAGAAGCATTGGTGCCTACACTCTCCTATTAACTCTTCGAGTTAGATCGCCGTTTAGACTACAAAACTACAAATTGCAGTATCATATTTGTTGAAAAATATTTGAATTTTAATGATTTCGAAGTTATTTAGCAGTAATCATTGTTTTAAAATTTTCAGAGTATATTTCTACCTATTTTAGGAATATCCAGTAAAATTTTTGATGAAAAAAATTTAATATTTTTCGATTTATATGAGATTTTTGATGGCGCTTAAAAAAAGGTTCTCCACTACTGCAGTGATTCCGGACCTACGGTCAAAAAACAAAATCAAAAATTGACGAAATGACAGCGTTTTTAAATAAGAGTTGAATTTGATCCAAAATTTGGTTCGTTTTTGGGTTGCCAATGTGTCTTCCAAGCGGAGATCACAGCAAACAAAGAAAGCCTTGTAGTTCTGACAAAAAGTGTGCTCACAACAAGGAGCATGTTTATATATACGGACAGTCAAGCGGCTTTGAAATCACTGAAGTCTCCTACGGTTTCATTAACGTTAGTGAAAGAACGTTTTGATCTCTTCGGCGATCTAACCTACTTCACGATAAAGCTGCAATGGGTTCCAGGGCATAGTGATATCCCTGGTCACTGCTAGGTGATTGTATAAAAAATTATATATGGGACATGCATAATATACAAATTTGTTGGTGATCGGATCATTTGACTCCGAGTGATCACTCAAGCAGGTTCGAAAAATGCTGTTTCGAGAAAAACACTTTTAAAGATAAACTAATGAAGTTGTTTGAACTAAGCGGCTACACAGAGGGATGTAACTCTAAAACTATTTGAGATGCCGATTTAAAATTTTAGTTTACTCTTAATAGGTCTAACCTATCAAAATAATCGAAATCGAATGAACTGAATTTTTGTAGTATAAATTGAAGGAAAATTTAATAACAAACGTCATTTTTTACATAAAATCAATGAAATAAATATTTGTGGTGTTTGTGTGTGTTAAATTTTAAGCTAAAAATTAAAATAAAACCGTTAACTTTTTTGTTTAATGATTTAATACAATGTTTCTTACTACAATTAAACGCAATTTTAAATTAAAAAACGTAGTTTAGTTTAAGAAAATTTGATTAATATGATATTTTTTATATAAATGATTTAAATATTATTCATTTAATTTAATATTTGAAGTTCTTAAATTGACCAAAAAGAAAAAAATATTCATTTAAATCAGTGCAAAATCTTTTCGAGATATTTTTTTGCCATTTTTTAATAAAATTATAAATCTCCCGAAAAATCATTTCTTATAAAATTTTGTATTCCAGTATTTTAGATTTAAATCGAAAAAGTTTTTTATGAAAACTGTTCTAACATAATTCAAATCGCTAGTCTAAGCACTCTGTAAGATTTCCTATATTACTCACTACAACCCTAGGAACTTGCTGCGCACAACGAATACACACGGTGTGCAAAGGTACTATAATCAATTAATTGTGTTTTTTGTTTTTTGCTTTATATCTTGATCTTATGTTGACTTTAGTTCTTTCTGCTGACTTAGAATTTCGCTCTCCAGAATTTACTACAATTTACGATGGTATGGTGGGACACAATCTCGAAGTAACTGTCTGTTTGTATATTTTTCACATTTGTTCATAGCGCTCTTTGGATACTCCCGCTGCACTCCTGCATTTTATATTTAAACTTTTATTGCTTTCGATTCGCACGTCTCTGTAAATTCTCTTAGACAGAGCATGCGCATGAATAGTTTGCATTCACACTGGTTACGCGCTCACAGCTGTTAGGTACACATCTCTGCGCTCTTATATCACTTCGTTTATGTTTATTTATTTCGCAGATGCTGATTTAAAATTTTTGTTGTTGTATTACCTAACGTAATTGACTCTACTCGTTCGTTCACTTCGCACTCATGCGCTCACTCAAATAGCGCAGGGCACTCATTTGTGTACAACTTGTTACCTACTTGTTTCGCAGCTCTTATGCATACACATGTATAATTCGTATACTCGTACCTGGTGGAGTGCGAGCGAGTGTATTTAGTTTGTTGGGGCTTTGCGAGGGGCGCCCAGTGGGCATCGCGTGAGCCAACTGGCGTTCGGTGTGCCACTCCGTGCACGTTTACACTCGCCGAGAATTTTACTACGCTGTTCGGTGGCATTTAAGGCAGACAGTCAGGCTATTAGCCAGTGTTTGCTTCGTTTTGTAGTGACAAACCGTGCACTGCTCGTAGAAACGTTGACGAATTCGCTTGTGTGTTTAAGAGCGGAACAGAAACTCGAAACTTTAGAATTATAATTTTTTTGCTTTAATTAAATAATCAACTCATTTAAAAAATTGTGGTTGAAAACTAAGCAAACAAGTGATTCTAAACTTATACTTCGTGCAAATATATAGTAATAATTTTAAGGAAATAGAAAATTATTATTCTACAAAGAAATACAAACAACTGTAAGCAAAGTGTATTTATAATATTATTATCGAAAGCATGAAAACGCTTTTCTACTAAGTGCGGTAAACAAAATTGCTAAAAGCTCAAAATAAAAAAAAGTTGCAACTCATTAAAATCTGCAAAGCACTCGAAAAACGTTCGCGAAGAAAGCATTAATTAAAGAAAAGAAGCGCAAATGTCAAAAAGATCGGGTGTTGTGTCAACGGCGAATATCTTTCATTACAATACGGTTATATTTTTGACGTGCCTCCGCCTGCCAAAGTGCTATCTGTTTTGTGAAAAAATGAAAAATTTTAATTTATAAATATCTATTATTTGTACTATATTTTCACTGAACGAGTCGTAAATCACCAAAAATACTCAGAAAGTTAAAATTGCGAAAATTGAAAAAAGCAAAACGCAGAATTAAGCATTTAAGGTAAAAATAAAGTGATATAATGCGAGTATATAGGGAAGGTAAAGGAAAAAAAATTACACCGCCAACGCGTATGAAGTGATTTAAAGTAAAGAAAAGTTAAACATTTTCGTATCAAAAGAAATATTGTCGCAGCAAACTTCGCGGCTGCAATTGCAAAAAAAAAAAATATTTAGCTTTCGTGAAAGTAAAATAAGTGCTCTTATGTAAAATTCGAAGTTAAAAATATATATGCGATTTTCGTTCGTTTTAAATACTGCACTTTATTGTGAGATTTTTTGACTAGCAGATAAAACAGCCGAAATATTTTCAAATTACTATATAGTTATTGAAAATAATATTGCAAAAGCAAGCAGCAAGCGATTTTCTCGTGCAAAGCGCATACACACTCCCACCCACATATATTTATATAGTAATTGGGAAAAGAGATTTACTCCGTTATACGCTTTAAATTGTACCGAAATTTTTGCAAATGAGTTTGTTAAAAAAAAGTTTTTCGAAAACATTCTATAAATAATGCATAAAAACGAAAAATACAAATAAATAAAACATGCGTAGAAAAAATAAAAACGATTCAAAAAGCTTCTAAGCTAAAAATTTGCAAGTTTAAAAAATTTCTCAAGTTGAAAAATTTGACTAGTGCATATTTAAACAAAAAATTGTACGGTTTAACTCGAAAAATACATACATTTAAACTCAAATAATTAAATAATGATTTGATTTCCAAAAAAATTAAATAAAATAAAATTATAGCAGATTTGTACCAAAGTTTTTACACAACAATATCATAACCTAAAAAATGTTTGCCAAAAACGTAATCTCGTCTAAGTGTGAAATGCAGAATATGAGCAAAACGCTAGGAAAACACAACAATACATTAAAAAAAAAACGTAAAAGCAAATTAGCACTTTTGCCATTTGCTAAATCTAGACGAACTAACAGTTCGTTAGATCCTGCTTAGTCTAATGACAGGCGCATTGTTGTTAGTATTTTTCGAATCTTTATTTGTTTTCATGTTTTGCTCGGTCTTCTCTGCAGACAGTTTACATATACTTATTAGTTTCTTCATTCTGCATTCATTTGTATTGCTCACGTTTTCCTGTGCATAGTTTTCTTTATTTTCTCTAATGTAGTGTGATTAATGGCTGTGACAGTGTGCTTGTGGGGCAAATATAAGAAATAAATAGTAAAATGAATTGTAGAATGTAATTAGTCGCAACAAATCGTAAATTATATAATAATAACAATGGCACGCAATTTTTGGTTTCTATTTTAAATCAAAAAGCTTTTAGCGCGATCCTTGTTTGTCTATCCTCAGCACAGGCTTTTTTGTTTAAGAGCCCAAAGCAGTTAAAAAACCAACAAATTTACAATCATAAATTGACAAGGAAGTTGAGAAAAAGCGCACAAGCGACACGATGGAAAAGTACAAACGAAATAATAAAATAATAAAACGAAGGTAGAGTGCGAGTTCAGTGCGAAGTTCGGAAGTACGAGTTTTGTTGCAAGTATGCCTCCATTAGAGCAGTACAGTTTTTTATACCCTAAACAGGGTATATTAAGTTTGCCACGAAGCCTATAACACCCTGAAGAAAATGTCGAAACTCTATAAAATATACAAAAAAATGATCAGCATGACGAGTTGAGTCAATTTAGCCTATCCGTATGTTTGTAGATATACGAACGAGTCCCTCACTTATTGAAATATCGATCCGAAATTTTACACACGTATTTTTCTTCCCAAAAAGCTGTTCATTTGTCGGAACCGCCGATATCGAACCACTATAGTATTTGGCTGCCATACAAACAGATCGATCAGAATCAAATGCTGGTGAGGAACACTTTATCATATGACGAGATATAAATTAAAATGAATTAAGCCAGCAACGCTGCTAACAGATACACATATATTTAGATTAAACGTCATCCGTGGCATATGTATATGGCAAACGGAGATATCTAAAAGAAAATACCTAAATAAATGAAAACCATATGAAGAAATGGCATAAATTTAAACGCATCAAAAGTGCAACAAATAAAGCAAAACAATAACCATTGTGTAGAATATAATGACGTTGTCATAAAATCCAAAAAAAAAAAAAACCATAGCTTACTATTTACATGCGGTAGCTTTTTAATTTCTATAAATGCGCATTTGTTGTGTTTTTTCTTTTCTCCCTGTACTGTTTCTTGCAGTTTGTGCTCGCTTTGTAAATGCATCCATACATACATACATACATAGGTAACTTAATGCGCTAGAGTGGTTTGTAATTAAAACAAGTACATTTTATTCGTTGCTATTGTTGTTATTGTTTGTGCGCTGTGCTGTGCTGCTTTTTACAAATACAGTTGTAGTTGTTGTAACTGTCGCTCTGTGGGTGTTTAATTGCGCCCGATTACTTTCTTGGTGCTGTTACGCCCCTACCGTTGGTTGTTGTGGTTAGTGGTGGGCTAGTAAACGGTATACAATTTCATATTTGCACATATGATAATTTATAGGGACCAGGGCCATAGAGAGAAAACCGAGGTCCGGGGAGGATATAGGATATAGACCCCCTGTTCCATCAATTTTGGCGCATAAAATTGTGGCAGAGCACCCTGGCCGCCCTGAAAACATCGGGTCCGGTAGGTATTGGCCCCGATCTACCCCCATCTCTTGTTTACTGACATACATGATTCGCTTGAGTGCGAAATCTACATTTTAATTCGTATAATGTTTAAAACATTTATTTTTAATATTAATTACTGCAATTTACTCACACTTCAACAAAATGAATTATTTATTACGTATTTTGCTATTATGTGTCACGTTTCTTTGAACACATTTCACACACATAAATATGTGTAATTCACCTTATTTACCTTACCCACTGTTTGTATTCGATCGTTCGATGCATTTATTTTTTATTCGTTTTATGGCGAGTTTTTTTGCTAGCTGTCAACTTGACGTTTCGTATGCGCGCAGTGTTGTTGCTGCACATACATACATCAATTTGACAGCGATCTTCTGTTCCTATCTTCGCTCTATTCAATTTGTTCCTTTTTGTTGTGTTTTTTCGGTTATTTACACAATTAAGTAATGCTTTCTACAATGAAATCTTTTAATTTAATTCACTTAAATGGTTTTTTTTCATTAAAAAAATGTTTTTTGTTGTTTTTTACATTTTTTAGATTTTTTTTTACATTTTTTGATTTTTTTTTTACATTTTAAAATTTTTTTCTTAATTTTTTTATTGAAATTTTATTTATTTTTCAATTTTTATTTTTTGTGAGCACCAGCATTTGTAGCTCTCTAAGAGTACGGAAGTTGTTAGAGATTGGCTTGTTTAAGAGCAATTGTCATGCTTTTGATCTACAGCTCTATGTGTCTGTTCTGTGCAGTTCGTCATTCATACTTGTGTCGTTGCATTCAGTTATTCGATGTACTCTTGTTTACAGCAGAGGGGCGGGGTATTCTTCCTCCTTTTTTTGCCTTAAATTTGCAGTCACATTTCTATTTCTCTATTTGCTGTCGCAAATTTCTTTTGATCCGATCGCATTTGTTGCTGTTTGCAAATCATTGCAGTCGTGCGGTTATATAGCAAATTTGCATACCCACTCCTCATCTACTTAAATACATATGCATATATTTAAATTAATTTATTATTTAAGTGCGCTTGTAAATGTTTGTGTTTTTATTAGCAATGCTTAACAATTATTTACTGCACATTTTTCTGTTTATTGTTTTGTTTTTATCTGATCTACATCACGCGATCTGAAATGTATGTACTTAATATATATACATATGTTTAAGTACGAGTATAACTCCGCTTTTATTTAAAATTAATCTTAGTTTTTATAAGCCCTTTGTTATAATCTCGGAACTTGATTCTGGAGTTTTCCAAAAAAAGGCTTAAAAATTTAGGAAAAATGGAACTTCTCTATATTATATATTTTTTATATGGTAATTTTGTTACAAAATGGCATCTACTGGTTCAATCTTTGGTATCAGCTTTTTCAAGAAGGCATTTAGAATTTTATAAACAAAAAACTTCTTTTGGAATGCTGCTATTTGATCAAAAAAGTAAATTTTAAATAGTTTCTGTTCATCTATAGTAATAAATAATACTTTTTTTTGGGTTTTGGATTTGAGAAAATTTTAAGCAAAAAAATCTTCTTCACTGTTAAACACTTTTTTTCGGTGTCGTCCTTAAGTCGGCTACGAGATCTACGGAATCCAAAATTTTTCAAAAAGAATCGCCGATTATTTAAGAACAAAAAATTTCTAGTGTTAGAATTGTAAGTAAATTTATATTATTTGTATTTATTTATTAATTAAAATGCCTTTCACAAAAAATGCGTTTGTTCTGATTTGCAAATGGATATAATCCCTTTAGCCGAAAAAGTTAATTAATTTGTAGAAAATCCTACACTGATCTAGCTCCTTAAAAGCAGTAATTTGTAATGAAAGCAAAAATTTCAATTTCATGTTTTGCGTTAATGGCGATTTAAATTTGTTAATTTTTTGATTTTTAGGGTGTGGGCTGCCAGCTGCTGTTTACTTGTGCGAATTTCGATTGACGATTGCAAAACTAGCGTAAAAGTATGGCGAGTTTGCCAAACTGACATACAGGCCTCATTACTTTGTGTGTTGGTTGTTTCTTTTTTTATGTTTTTTTGTCTCCTGATTTGCATACTTTTTGCAGCTTGGTAGCTTTTACTGAGCTGGTGGTAGCAGCTGTCCTTCACAATGAAGATTTTTTCATTGAAAACTAACGCCCTGCATCTTGAAACCACCCTTTGAGCCACATGCAAGTTCGGCTGTTTTCTATATTGAATTTTTAGTTGTGATTTCATTGTGCCTGTCATTTAAAAAAAATTGTTTGTCGTTTGCTTTGTGTTTAGAGGCGAAAAGATAGGTGTGGTTCAGCAAATACTTATCCTCGTATTATCAAAATTCGCTCTAAGCCTTTATCAGCCTCATAAAACCACCACTAGTTTTGCTAAAAGCGTTCCGTTGTATATGAAGTGTCTTTATTTATAATTATATTTCATTTAAATAAATAAATATATAAATATTTGCTGGTATCAGCGTCGCCTCCGCTATTCGTATGCTGGCGGTGTCATCGCTCGATTTTGGCACTCAGCTGTTTTGCACGCACTCAGCGCTTGACATTCACCAGTATTTTGTTGTTATTATACTCATGTGTGGCCTGATCTACAGCGTGTCGCCGTTGGAATTCTATAAATATTTCACTTGATACAAACGAAAAAAAAAGAAAAAGGAAAACATTCACGTTTTAAGATATTTTAGCACAGATAACAACAACACCGAATGCTTGTTGTAGCCTTGAAAGCAAAAGTTTGAAAACTTAGAAATTTAAAAGCATAAAAAGATAATGTGTGCGATTAAACATTTGTTTAGCGCAAATATTTCACCATTATTCACTAATATCTTATCAGAGAAACGTTTCCTTTGCCATGCAGAGTCGCTTATTCATGCCATACCACTGGGCTCCGCCACTTGACGCTAAGAGGTTTTTGAAAACTCTCTTCGAACACATAGTGCCATCTGAAGCGATCGGAAACTTACATGTTACTCATAAATGAACAGGTGGACCTTTAGACTGACTTTCGACTAACATTTATCAGACTCAGGCCATGCATTCTACACGCCGGCTACCGGCTGATGGAGACGTGCTTATGTATTATAAATCGTTGCTGGCTTGATTTGGTATCAGCGTTGTTGCCATTCGCGCAGATAAGCGTGTAACTGCACTCCCTAAAATATATATATGTACATCAAAGTCATCTATAAAGAAATAAATATAGTTAATACAAGTAAGGAAGGGCTAAGTTCGGATGTAACCGAACATTTTATACTCTCGCAAAGTCAAATGGTACACTCGTTTGAGATTTCTTTGTGGATTGACCGATATTTTCGGTAGAAGGCCAACTATAGGCACTGGGATTCACATATTCGGTACCTAGGGGCTTGAACAGTTTTGGTTTGGTTTAGACAATTTTTGATCACAATATGGCATACTTCAAACGAATTATTCACGCAAAGTTCTACCCCGATATAATCATTGTTGCTTGATATGCATAGTGGAAAGTAAAAAAATAAGATGAAATTTAAAATCGTGTTATATAGGATATAGGCGTGGTTGTAGTCCGATTTCACCCATTTTCGCACTATGACATAGAAACATGAAAAGAACGTTATTCACCGAATTTGGTTGAAATCGGTTAAGCAGATCTCAAGATATGGGTTTTCACCTAAAAGTCGGCTGTGCCACGCCCACTGTATAATTTTGAACGCGGTTCCTATAAAGTCATCTCATACCATCCTAGAGCTAAAATTTAATGTCTCTGTTGTGTTAAGTGCTTGATTTATCGCGGTTTTAGAATTTTTTAACAGTACCGTTATCCTTTTTTTATAATGTGATCCTGTGTACCAAATAACAGTCTTCTATCTTATTGCATATATCTCAATTTTTACTCAAGTTACCGCTTGCACGGACGGACGGACAGACAGTCACCCGGATTTCGAATCGTCTCTTCACCTTGATCATTTATATATATATATACATAACCCTATATCTAACTCGATTAGTTTAAGGTGGTACAAACAACCGTTAGGTGAACAAAATTATTATACGCTGTAGCAACAAGTTGCGAGAGTATAAAAAATAAATAATATAATTCGATTATCAGTTGCATGAGAGTTTAGTCGTATCATTTATTGCTTACTTGTCTAAGCTTTTGCCTCCGTTATCGGTACAGTAATGTATTTTAAGCGCACATAAGTTTTGTTAATTAAACAAAAAAACAAATAATTAGCGCAAACGCTTATCTTAGAAGTAGTTATGCGATGAACTTGAAATTATGTGTGGAAAAAAACGTGTTTACGCTGATTTATCGGCCTGTTTGTTTCAAGTAGTAAAGCCGAAATTTGAATTTTACTACAAACTTCTTATAATTAATTTTATTAAAGTGTTTTGTTGTTGTTTTTGTAGCGGCAGTAAACATTCCCCACAAATTTTGAGGAATGGTGCCGAGTTCATAGTTCCTCGTCGTATAAAAATCTGGATCCGTTCGGATTACATTGACCCAACTGTCGTGGGAGGTCTCATTAAAGCATCTTCTTCGCTACTTTCCTAATTTTTGTTGTTTTTACTTTAAGACACACCCACACTGTTTGCATTGTGTTATCAGCACCAAAACGGCATGTTGCGGCAGCACTTCAAACGTGTTAATTGAGTTTTGAATGCTCAAATCAAGATCGTCCAATTAACTATTTGCCATTTTGACGCTGGAACACTCGATTTGTAATCTCTATTCTCTGGGATTTTGTTTTTAATTGCTGCGTGCGCACTGGTGACTTGCACGCATGACCAGCATGCTTCGGCTTCGGCCGCCGCTTGGCGCTGGTGCGTTCTAATGGAAAAATAATTCGTCTCTCGTTGCGTAATGCCGGCGTGGAAAAAGAAACAAATGCAAGCACGGCTCAATAAATTCAGTTTTATACAAATTATATTAAATAAATAATTAATAAGAATTGAATGCCATCCATAACTAGAAATCAAAAAAACAAAAAATATTGTTATTAAAAACATACATATGTACATACACATGTCTAACTGTATGACATAATATTTTATTTTCAATAAACTACACTAAAGTTGACTCTTCAAATAGCTAATATTTAAAAACGCAATATGTGTAAATATATACGTACTAGACAGCTTTATTTTCTACTGTAATTCGAAGCATTTTTTACATACAGTTATTCAGTTTAAAATGCATTAGTCGTGTTGCAATATGTTGCTCATTGCGAAATGATAGAACAAAGCACTGGAAAAACTATTGGGGATGGATCTCGCTACCCACCCATTTCAAATACATAAAGCTTTAAACAACAACAAGCGAGGTAGAGGAAATGCTTTTATGCACATAAATATACATACATACAGACCTCTACATAGGCGCAGCAGCAGCACAGCAGCATTTTCAGTGCAAATATTACAGCTATAAACGAGCAACAACGTGAATGTACGCAAATTTCGCCGGTAAAAAGTGTGCAACAAGAATGAATTGATTATAGAGATGAGGCAAAAACAAAACAAAAAAATAACAAAAACAAAATGTATAAATACCAACAAATAAAAAAATATATATGTATATATATATAGCAAAAACAAAATGCATTTTAACTACCACAAAAACAAAATGTATAAATACCAAAAAAATATATATATATATACAGCAACAACAAAATGCGTTTTAACTACTCATTTCTGTTTGCATATACAGCATTTATTGCATTTGAGTGCAAATAGAAACACAAATGCGCTTAAGAGCATAGGCATACCCTTCGCAATCTCTTAGGAATTGACGTCACACTCTTAAATAAGTACTGCAAATGTATTGTAGTGTCATTTCAGTGCATTATGTGTGGAAAAAAATCACAGCACTCTTCAAAGCTCACACACCACGAGCTGAGCGAGATACTCTCCTTCGCACATCAAGAATTGCTATTTTTGCTTGCGGCAAGTTTTTTTTTTTATAGGTATTTTATATAATAGCTTGTTTTAATTTTTTGTTTTTTACATTTTGTTTGGCTACTAATTGCAATTACACGATCTCGCACCATACTATTTACTTTTCTCTTTAGTTTTTGCTGCCATATGGGAGTAATTAACTAAACGAAAATCACGTGATGCGTATGTTCTAATGACGCAATATTTAACAGGCAATTTTTGTTGAACAAATGCATGCGTGTATGTGAGTTTTTATATTGAATGCATTGTAGAAAACGCTAATAAGTAAGCAAAATATCGCACGAGTGCGCATATAATTATATTTATGTACATACATATGTACAATACATATATACATTAAATGATAACATTTAAGAATATTAAAAATATAAGTAAATTAAAATAAAACTACTATCAAATAAAAAAAATAAATCATACTTAAATCAAAAAAAAAAAAATATTTTTCCATTAAAAAAGTAAAAATTATCTTAAGAAAATTTATAAAATACAAATATCAAACAATTAAATAAAAGAACATATTTTCCAAATAAAAATATTTCGGAAAATATTTTCCAAAGTGGATTCAATATAATTATTTAAATAATAGATGAAATTAAAACTTTACTATTAAAATTTAAATAAAATAAAATATGATTTAAAATAATGTATATTATAAATTATTGAAATAGGTTTAGAAAATTATTATAAAAACATTCAGATATATTCAAAACAAAAACAAAATATAAAAATAGAAAAAAAATATTTTCCGGAGTTTAAAAGTGAAAAATACCTAAAAATTGATAAACTGCAAATATCAAATAATTAAAAGAAATATATTCCAAATTGAAGCTTTTAAAATATTGTATACTATAAAATGATGAAATAATTAAGAAAATCGTTATCAAATCATAAAAATATTAAAAAATATATATAAATATATATTTTCCAAATAAAGAAAGTTTCCACTAAAATAAAATATGCTATAAATTAATTAAATAATTAAAGGAAATTATGTATTATCAAACGTTAAAAATATTTGAAAATAAAATAAAATATTTTCCAAAACTAAAAATAAAATGAAAGTTGTCTAAAGAAAATTGCAAAGTACAAATATAAAATAATTAAAAAATTTTCCAAATCAAAAGTGAATATTCTCACTTGTCTGTCAAGCAATTCTTACTATCTGTCAAATCGCGAGTGTTTCATGCTTCCCATTATTGTGTACGAGTGTGTGCATTACACGAGCAAATCGCTAAAGCGATTACCAATAAAAACCGAACCAAAAATCCATAATGTAAAATTCGCGATATGTGTAAATTTTGCAGCAATCTTGAGAACAACAATGAGATTTATTCACTTGCACAATACGAGGCAAGAAGCTTAAAGTGGAGACAAGCGACAGTGAAAGCAATCAAAGCAACATTGGCGATAGCTGTGGCAACAACAATCTCACAAAGAAAATCAACGATAACAGCAACTGCAACAACAACGATAACTCAACTGACGACTATAACGGAAATTATTAGAGTGCAGTAAAGAATCAAAACTGAAACAAGAACAAGAAAATCCAGAAATCCTTAATAAATCTTGCAAAATTGCGTTGCATTCGATCAAAGCAGCCAACTCACCACCGTCAACGCATACAGACCTAACCACCGACAACAACGATCTCAACGAGGATCGAAATATAAACATAACCAACAACAACAATACAACTAATAAATTATGTTCCTCCATTAAACGCGAAAAACGTGTGCAATTAATGCAAATCCCTCTATTACCATTACCACTACCTCAGGCAACACTAATTGCGCAGCCACACCCCATTAGATAATACCACGAAATTGATCGACTCTAATAAAACGATTGTATGTGAAAAGTCACTTTCTCCATTGCGTCAGAATTTACAATCGAATTGTTTAAACGGCAGCGACAATAAAACCAACAACAACAATAATAACACTAGTGTCTCGAGCAATAAGAATTTGCTTCTAGCAAAATCGCTGAAGAAACGCCCAAGTCGGTCACCGCATCGGTATTTCGTCCGGCTACATTGGCCGATTTGAGCGGTACACATACAACAACGGCAACAGCAACGCCGCTATCGCCGCCACTACCAACGCTCGTACCATCGACTACGAGCACTTCGTCGGTATTTGTGAATGCAGCAAATGCACCGTCGTTGCCGCCGTTGAACGCCGCTCCGCGCGCCCAATCGGTAACGGCTTCTGTATTTACGCCGATTTCGCAGTTGTGTAATG